ACTTGAAATATAGCTTTATCTCCCTAAGATCTCGGTTCCTTTCGATATTGGCATGTATCGGACCATAACTTCATGGATTATGGCCCCTGATGGTACGAAAAATTGCGTTTTTAGCTTGTGGACACTCTAGAGGTCACAACCCACATAACAATATTTATGTAAATTTACGTTACATTTACGTAAAAATGGTCAGTCATTTTCTGACGTAAATCTAACGTAAAGTTTAAGTCATTTTCTGACGTAAATCTAACGGAAATTTTGCGTAAAGTTTAAGTCATTTTCGTTAGATTTATGTCAGAAAATGACGTAAACTTTACGTTAGATTTACGCCAGAAAATGACGGAAATATAACGTAAAAATGATGTAAACTTTACACTAGATTAACGTCATTTCCTGACGTTAAATAGTCGTTAAAAGGATGAGCAAAATGATGGAAATCTAACCGACCATTATAACGTAAATGTAACATTAAATAAACATCATTTTCGGATGCAATTCTAATGTCAAATTTTGATGAGCAAAGTTACGAAAATATAACCAACCATTAAAACCTTCAAAATTATTCATTATTTGCGGCAGTAAATGGGAAGTACAGTCAACCAATAAACAAATGTTCTTTACTCGTGGAAGGGGCTAGAAGTTGAGTGGTCCAACGTGTGCGCTTTAGATCATAAGGTCTGTCATTGAGTCAAGTGGTTTAGTTTTGACAACCAACTTGAACATGGGTTTTCTCTGGGTCCTCACACTACTAAAGATTCCCGGTGCGAGTGAATTATTCAACTTGAATTGAATCACTTAGTCCCAAAGGACAGTTCATGTCTATTGGATGTTACATCCCATTTCTCTCTATCTACCCATAACCAGTCAAGATTCTAAATGTATTGCACAGAAAAGTTAAAAATCTAGCACAACTTACAGAATTATATAACAAAATATACTATAAGTATGTATACATGTACTTTATTTAAAAGACAAAAATATGTTATAAAATACAAAATACACATTTAAATATTAACAGTTTACATGTATATCCACAGCTGTTTGAGAAATGAAGACGGGCATATGCCACACAGTGTGCTATGAGGGAAATTTTGTCTGCACAACAGATCTATAGCGTTCTTTTATATAAAATTCCAACTGCCAAGGGATCTTTCACACACACACCATAGTGTACACAGTTTTTTTTTGTCCTATCCATATGAATAGTCAGCCATCCATGTCAGGTCCTCTGTCCGGCATCACTGACAAGGGAAAATGTTCAAGAAAAAAGTCTACATTAGCACTATGAAAATGTTGATATGCGTATCAGAAAGGAAAACTGGGATATTGACCAAATTTGGCAAAAACCTATAGCCTCTATCTCGTTTGCTCAAGGTATTGATCGAATAGGAGTTAAATTTGAAATGAGTGAAATGAAATGGGGTTTAATGTCATATTCCGACGGGGCTAATGACATGGACATATGCTATACAGTGTGCTATCGGGGAATTTTATCCAGACAGCAGCGATAAGGCCTACTCTTATATCGAATTCAAACTGCCTGGGGATCTTTTACATGCACACCAATGTGTGCACAGGACTACACAGCTGTCTTTGTCAGGCCCTCGGTCCTGCACCACTGATAAGGGGAGGAAACCAAGTCTGAAAATCCCGAAGAACTTTCTCGGCCAACACTAGAATGGAATGTTGTGGAATGCTAAATATTGATAGGTTTTGTCCTCTCATGAATCCAGTGTGTAACACAAATTTGAAAAAGATCAATTCAAAATAGACACAGCATCTATTGCATTCGAAAAAGGGAGAAATAACCGAGAAAGGGAAAGTCCTGAAAAGCTGTATATTGATAATGCTTGTCCTCTCGCGCTCAGGGGGTTGGATGGTCGAATGGTTAGCATGCGCACGCTGTATCATCCAGTCTGTCATTGAGTCAACTGGCGGGGTTTCGACAAGGAGTTGTACGTGACAAGGAGTAGGGTCGCCTGTCCAACCTTGTGTGTTTTCTCCTGGTCCTCCGGTTTCCTCCCATAGCTAAAGACCCCTACGCGCAAGAAAATTATGGAAATAAAATTGAACCATGTTAGTCCCGAAATGACCTAGTTTGTGTCGAGTGGACGTTAAACCCATTTCTCTCTCTCTCACAATCAGAATGATTCACATTTCACACCCAGTCGACAGACAAACAGGGCAACAGTATAATACTCCAAAATTGATATGTGGGTGTATAAACAAAGATATATACTACACCAATATTACATGTGTTGCAGAATTGGTTAAACGTATAAAATATAATTGTAACACAGATATTTGCAATTGTTGATCCATGACAAAAGATTTGAAATATTTTGAAGAGACGCAAAAGATTACCGTTCAATTCATTCATGCACGAGTTTAAGCTGAAAGGTTGTTACATGATACTGCTATTCATAAAAGGAATTGCCTGTCACAAGATCGGACAAAAATATTTTAGGTCTACTGTTTATTCAGTACGTATTGCCTTGGCCTATGTGAAATGAAATGAAATGAGGTTTAACGTCCTACTGTTCTGCTCCTAACCCGGGCTAATGAAGACGGGCATACGCCATACAGTGTGCTATGAGGGAAATTTTGCCCGGGCAGCAGCACTACGGCCTACTCTTATAACAAATTCCAACTGCCAAGGGATCTTTTACATACACGTCAATGTGTACACAGGACCTCATTTTTTTGTCCCATCCAAAAGACTGGACAGCTGTCCTTGTCAGGCCCTCTGTCCTGCATCACTGACAAGTGGAAACCATGCCGGAAAAACCATGTATCTTTAATTTTCTATGCTTCCGAAGTATGGGGCTTCCATAGTGCCCATGATATCGAATTATTGCATCTTTATTTTTTGAAAAGAACCCTATTGAAGTCAGACAAAACACGAACACGTCTATGGTTTATTTTAAAACTGGGCGATACCTTTTAACTATTCATCGAAAATTTAATATTTAAATATTGGTCTCGTTTAATTAACACTGACAATATTGTCCTTAAAGCTTGTTATAAAGATATGTTAAAGGGGCTAAATCGCTAACATTTGGGACCTAGAAATTGACACATTAAGTGGGTCGGAACTCATATAATACTGTATTATGAATGTATATAAACTGATATACATTCAATGGTTTCCGTTTTTACTCTAATTTCAAATCAGTTATGTTCCGCGAAATAAGCTAGCAGTCTCAATCGAATGCAAATTTCTAGCGACTGGTTATTCCAGTATACATACGCCGTTTGGTTTGGTGCAATATGTCTAGCCTCGTTCCTCGAGTCTCTTGCTAGAACTGGGGCCGAAACGCATTATGGTACACGATTCGTGTACCAATGGTAAAATGTTTATTTTGTCTTAAATATTGGATATCAGAAGCCCATCTTTTTCCGGTAAGATCACAGCATCAATGTTGATTTAAATTGACTAATAATTTGTGTTTTCAATGGTGAGGATTTTGGATGATATTAAGTTAGAGACTTGGCTACTTTAACTAACAATGATAAATGGATTATTAATGTAAAGTCTGAAGTTTATAGTATTGGTTTGGGTTATATATGGGAGAGAAATTTTCAAGCGGGAATGTTTTTTAACTCAGATATTGTCATTATCAAACAACGACTATGTGATAACTTTAGACAGAAATGTGTGGAAAATTTAAACGAATCTTTTAAATGTATTATTTATAGAAATATTGTTAATCACTTTGTTGTCCAGTCCTATTTGACTATATGTATTGAGCAAAGGTTTAAAAGGGAGATAACACAGTTAAGATTATCTAGTCATAAATTGAGGATCGAAACTGGAAGATATGAGTCCATACCGAGAGAAAAAAGAATTTGTACACTCTGTGAAAGTGATGAAATTGAAGATGAATATCACTTTGTACTTGTCCATTCTTTGCTGAACTTAGGTCAAAATTTATAATGAAATATTACTCTACTAGACCAAATATGGAAAAATTAGTAGAACTGCTAAAAAGCCAAAATTGTTTAGAACTAGGTAAATATCTATACTTCGCTAATATTAGTAATAAATTAAGAGACAATACCCTTAATAGATTGTAGTTAATATCATATTATAGTAATACTGTAAAGTTTAATTCGTTTGTTTGCTCTCTATTCACTGTATATATTGTATATAATTGCATTCTTATGTTACTATGTTTACCGATGAACCAGTGGTTCAAGGTTAATAAAGATTTGATTTGATTTGACTGTGACGGCCAAACACATAGTTACCACCCCTTTCCGTGACTGCAGCTGCACATTTCATTCGTCTGTTTCTTAAACTTCAGACAAATCGTGGCTATAATCATTAAACACCAAATAATAATCAATACTTTATTACAAAAACATCGATAATACTAATCAAACAAACAAAAATGCTAAAATCATAACGCCAATTAACAAACAATACAATAAACTTTATTACAAAAACATCGTTAATACTAATCAACGACATTAGGCCACAGATCACTACTAAACATTTGCCCATTGACTTTAATGTTAATTCTCGTGTCTTAGACCGGCTCTAACTTTTTCCCAAATTTACGTTGGGTAGAACGCTTTCTACCACAGATGGAGCAACATGTGGCAACCTCTTGCCCAAAAGCACGTATGAGGTTCACCATGGAAAACTTGAGATACACAAGCTGGAAGTAGAGACAAGAAAACATGCAATTTTGGACCCTACATTTCAACCTTACCAACATCTCAACTCTTGTATCCTTCCGCCTCAAAATCATGAATATTCACCAAAACCTGGTAGAAAATGTATTTTCAAACCCTTTTCTTCGATTCTACACCAAAAAGTCAACAAAAATCGCCATGCAAAAGAGGGAAAAAGGGAAAGGGAGAGAAAGACTAAAAATAACTTTGACGGCGTAAGAAAAATTGGTGAGCTGTGTCCATTAAAAACCAAACTCCCGGTTACGCATGGGCAATGGACTTCAAGTTCTGGGTGACCGAGACTACCATTAGCCAATCATTACCGGGAAACGGGTTGGCCAGGCTATATATATATATATTTGTCTCTGGATAAGACCAGCAAGCGATTTCCGTTTGCACTTTGTTGATTATTTTCTGTATTCGTCATCATCATGTCGAGGCATTGGGTTATTTCCTATTTTGTCTTATTATCTATTGTAGGACTACTTGCAGAAGGTAATTCATTAGATATAAATATAGAAAATGTTTATGTTTTTTTAATCTGAAGAAACTACAGGCCATTATTATTGATAAATCAGCCAGTGTTTATGTTTCCAATTTGTTAAAGTAGCTACTGTCTGTTCCAGGCGACACTACGACTAGAAAATTGCTTACTATTTCTTCAATTTTTAATTAAAATGGTTAAAACTTCACGACCTACCTTGAATTGTCACCCCATTACTTTCTTCGTCGAACCTTAACGCCTATAAATTCGATAAAATCCTTTATTCTCTTGTAAATTTCACATTTTTCGACACTAATCAATTTCTCAGAACATAAACATTATCACTGCGCTTGCGTAAGTTGGGTCACTCGTATATCAGGTAGAGGTATAAGATATTCCACAAATCGGGTGCATTCGGTTAATAATATTTATGCGGGAGGATTCGCCCGTTTGTTTTGCGGCAATGCGAGGGGTTTTGGTGTGCGTAAGTGTGTGTGTGTTTAGGTTTATTTGGTTACCGGTATTTTAATATTCCTTAGAGATATTCATAGTATTGCATGTCTCCTAAAATATTCCTCACAGAACACTTATTTTCAGCATTAGATGGCATGGTAACCTTTCTGATAAAGTGTAAATTTGTACGATATCTTATAATTTTATGGACTTAAAATAGTTTTGATTAACGGTATCTATTTTTATTTATATTCGCGTTCCAAAGGCACACAAGATTTGTTTCAGATATTGTCGTAGAACAGATAGAAAAAAATGAATCGTAGAAAATATAATTCCTTGAATAATGGATCATCCTTTCATCACATGCATTTGGAAGTTGACGATGCTCTGTGTATATAAGAAGGTGGATACTTTAATTTTAGCACAAGAAAAGGCCTATGTCGCCCGAAGAAACACAAATTTTAAAATCAAAGACGTTAAGCGTCTGTTCCTGGAGGCCACAGCTAGTGTGACAACTGGAGATTGGGATAAGGCATGTCAACATGTCATAGACAAGGTGTGGGATCGATTTTGGGAAGCTAGAAGATTGAATGAGGAAGTACCACCAGTCGTGATTTCGTTCGGGAGTGACAGCGAGTATGAGTGTGAGAGTGATGATTTGGGCGACAATTTCAGTGGAGAGTGTGATAGTGAAAATGTTGGTGAGAATATTGATGGCCGTGGTGTTGCGAATGAAGATTCGAGTGATGATGATATAAATGTGTGTAGTGTATGAGATTGTGAGAACCCACCATGAAGTGAATCGGATGCGATTGTGGATTGGGTGGGCTGTGATTTGTGTGAAAGGTGGATGCATGTGAAAGTACAGGGAAAGAGATTGAAGTAAGCGCAAGTGTGGTGAAGTGTGTAGATATTGTGCATAAATTATCTGATAGATATAGCGTGAATGTAGGCCAGACAACTTCTGTAATATATATTGTATATAGTCGGGGAATTTTCTGTGAATTTGTGTAAATAAATGATTTGTATAAAACAGTTTATTTTCCGTTTTCTTGTTTAAAAGGTAGACTTGCAGAAATTGAATTGAGTTCAAGATGAATCAAAAAGAATAAATAAAGATGCCGAGACTTACTGAAAATCAACGGAATGAAGCCATGGGAATTTCCAGGGCTGGCATGTCTGCACGTGTTATTGCCAGACACTTCAATTGTCATCAGTCCACTATTGTAAGGTTGGTGGAACGTGTTGGAGTTTCTGGATCAACACGTGGCCGTCAACGTCCTGGTCCACAAGCGTTACAACCCAGACTCAAGACCGCTACATTCGGGTCACTCATCTGCGTGACAGATTCCGCCCAGCGACTCGAACAGGTGCAGCAGTCGTCGGAAGACAAGGACCAGTTAGTGCCAACACCGTAAGACGTCGTCTAAGATGGAGCTATCCTCAGGGATTATCACCGTCAGCGGCGTTTGATATGGGCTCAAGGACACCAGACATGGAGAAGAGTAGACTGGCAAAGTGTGCTCTTCAGTTATGAGAGTCGCTTTCATCTTTATCACGCTGATGGCCGTCAACGTGTGTGGAGACGTCTTGGGGAACGTCTTGCAGACTGCTGCGTCTTCTAAACGAATCGATGGGATGGGGGAAGTGTAATGGTGTGGGGAGGCTTCACATTTCATCACCGGACCGCCCTACACATTTGCAGGGGTCGCGTTAATGCTGTAGCCTACCGTGATGATGTCTTGCAACCAATTGTTGTTCCGATGTTTCGAGCGCACCCACAATTTCAGCACTTCCAACAGGATAATGCACGTCCGCATACCACCCGTTTTAGTATGGACTACCTGGCTGCTAACAATATCAATGTCTTGGACTGGCCAGCCATGTCTCCGGATATGGCACCGATAGAACATGTTTGGGATGAGATTGGACGCCGTCTGTATCGGAGACCACAGATGCACACCATTGCTGCTTTAGAAGCTGCTCTTGTCCATTCATGGAACAATTTGCCCCAGGCCTTCTTTCAAACATTGGTAAATTCCATGGGACGTCGCTGCACAGCGTGCGTAAGAGCACGTGGAGGACACACATCTGTGTCGTACTTTGTACGGTTGATTACAGATTAAACATCCATAAGTGTACAAATGTGTTCCCATTTGAATATTGTTCACAATAAGAAGCAAAATAAATAAGATATGTTTACAGGATCATTTTGTTATACGAAAAACTAAGTGATGCGTTTTCCATGGTATAAAAATACCTTAGGAGCGCCCCCTTTCAATTGGATTAAAACTTTTAAAAAAGAAAAGAAAACTCTATCAATATATTACCAACTATGGTGGTCCACCAAGGTATATATCTTTTTTAAAAGTGCTACAAGACCACGATTTGGCGGTCTGAAAATAGTATTAAAAGTCGTACAAAGCCAAATAAAATCGAGAGTTATATATCTATTATTCTAAAGCCAGATAGACAATTCGTTTGAATTGTCATTTAGCCTACTTCCAAATTTCCATGACGTGTCACTACAATATGGAGTCAAACTTTGTATGTAGTTTATATCAATTTCCAAAAGCCACGGGACTGGGGCCGCCAATTAAATATCTATGAAATGGAGTAAACAACGGTGGTCTGATACCAAATAGCAAATTTATATTACCTCCCGTAAATAGCTCATAAAGCAAATTATATTCTACTGAGGCGAGACAACTATTTAAACATGCAAGTAGGACGAAACAACCCCAAGTCAAATCCACACCCCTGCTCGATTTGGTTTATACCAATTAACTAGGTCAAGCATGGCTGTCTTCATTACCGCGAAATAAATAAACAACGATTTTTCAAGACAGAAAGGTTATATAGCTTGGTCTGAAATTAGTTAACGTGCGGTAGAAAGTAAAGGGGTGACAATTTCAGGTAGGTCGTTAAATTTTAACCATTTTAATTAAAAATTGAAGAAATAGCAAGCAATTTTCGAGTCGTAGTGTCGCCTGGAACAGACAGTAAGTCTCTAACTCAGTATCATCCAAAATCTTCGACATTGAAAACACGAATTATTTGTCAATTTAAATCAACATTGATGTTGTGATCTTACCGGAAAAAGATGGGCTTCTGATATCCAATATTTAAGACAAAATGAACATTTTACCATTGGTACACGAATCGTGTACCATAATGCGTTTCAGCCCCAGTTCTAGCAAGAGACTCGAGGAACGAGGCTAGACATATTGCACCAAACCAAACGGCGTATGTAGACTGGAATAACCAGTCGCTAGAAATTTGCAACGCGTTTCAGGCCCATTCTAACAAGGGACTCGAAGAACGAGGCTAGACATTAAAATAGTCATGTCAAACGATGACGGCATATTCATATCGGGAGAGTATGCGCAATAAATACTATGTAGACTAGAATAACCAGACGCTAGAAATTTTCATTTGATTGAGACTTCTGACGTCATATTTCGCCGAACGTAACTGATTTGAAATTAGAGTAAAAATGGAAACGATTGAATGTAAATCAGTTTATATATATTCCTATTACATTATTATATGCGTTACGACCCATTTGTGTCAATTTCTAGGTCCCAAATATAAGCGATTTAGCTCCTTTAAGTTACGGTACATATAACATTGGATAAACAATGATTCGCAATCAGAATGTGAATGATTCTTGAATGTGGTTACTGTCTGCACTGGTTGTAGTGTAAGTGATAGAGAATGATGTCTTTTTTCAATCAATGTCAACGGACATGCTTTGTCTGACTGAGATTCTTTGAATCAGAGCCATTTAAATTTTTAAAACTCAGATTTCGATTTATGCCAAAATAGCGAAATAAATATTTAGACCCTGAGGCTGAAGGAGTTAAACCGCTAACTCCATATTTCCCATAAATTAAAAAAATTATAATATTTGAAATTAAAAACACAAATTTATTAGAATTCAGTATTGCCCATTGGTCTATTTCAATCAATAGGGCCTAAATCGGGCACCATGTATTGATGTTGGATGGCCGAATGGTTAGCGCATGCTCGGTGTATCATAAGGTGTGTCAATTAGTCTGTCATTGAGTCAACTGTCATGGTTTCGATTCCCGGTTGTACGTGACAAGGAGTAGAGTCGCCTGTCCAACCTGGTGGGCTTCCTTCGGGTCCTGTTGTTTCTTCCCACTGCTAAAGACCCCTACACGCAAACGAATTATTGAAATAAAATTGAACCATATGTTAGTCCCAAAATGACCTACATGTAGTTTATGTCCAGTGGATGTCTCTCTCTCTCTCTCTAATTTATTGAATTATGCTTAAGAATATTTGTACCTGATTTGTAGATGTTACAGAAAAGGATGACTCTGAGGACAACTATATTCTTGAGGATGATTATTATGATGGTTGTACATATTTTCTGATCTTTGCATTTGGTTGCCTGGATTCTGAGCATTTTAAAACCATACATGTACATGCCCATACATATAGGGCAGAACTTACTAATATTCTTAAAAAGGACATAGACATCTTTGATTTGGGTGTAACCTGAAAGTGTTGATTTGATTACACTATGTACTACAAAATTAAACTTGCCATGCTTAAAACTAAGTACTCTAAAACTTTCTATTACCAATGTACTACTTTTAACCTTTCTACGCATAAAGCCTACACTCAAACTAACTTATAATCTTTTCTATACTTAATTAAACCTATACATGTTCAATGCTTAAACCCACTAGGCCCACCCTTAAAATTGTTAATTTTGAAGATTAAATAGGGGTTATGTAAGACTAAGAGCCGAATTTGTGTATAGCATAGCACGTTGTTTTGTTTTTCTGGCTTATTATTTAGACATTTATTAACATGACAAGCCAATAATAAACTCACCAAGCCCACAGATGGCTTAGATATTGAGTGGATTAGGCAACGTTTATTGTAATATTGACGACCAATTTGAAATTTTCGGAAAATGCATGACGATGTCACTGAGATGCAGATAAATACAAATTTAATTGCGACAGCTGTCGTAAATTGATATATGTAGCGATTCATAACTTGGCTCAGAATAAAGTAATTTGAGTAATTTTTTCAATATCTTCATTTATCGAGGATAATATCTTGCAACGTAACTTCATATGAAGGCCAAACATTAAATTTGCCTATCTGATATAAATCTTACGTTTCAGAAATTTATTGATGTCTTGTCCAGAGTCTACGCAGAATAGATATCTCAAAAATATTTATATTGTACAAGAACCCCATTTTTATGTTATTTTAAAGTCATTCATTATACATTTTAAGAAATGCCCGACGCTTAGAAAAGATGGGCACTGTATTGTAAATAGCTGAGTCAATCCATCTATAAACAATACTGTAAATTGTTACATTCGTGTATAATTACTGATTCCCGTACTTATAATTGTTACGTTCGTGTATAATTACTGATTCACTTACTTAATTTTTTTGATAAAATTTCGTCTATTGGTCTGATCATTATAAAGCTTCCGCCGCTTTAGGCCTAGGTAGAGACAGGGGGTATCCGTCAAAATAATTTTCGATAATGCATAAAGGTACTTTTGGTCACCAAACCTATGAAATCGTATCATGAAGATTTATAGTCAATATGCGAAAATTTCAGAAACAGTGAATGAGTGATATCTGAAAAAAAATTGACAGTTCCCCGTGATACAGGAGTCATTCTATCAAACATTTCTAGTTCATTCGAGCAGATTCGAGCAAATTTATGGTCGATATGGCGATTAAACTATGCGCATATATAGTGAACAACCAATTCACTATCGGTCAAAATTTCGAAAAAGGGGTACCTTTAAAAATTATTTCTGATAATGGGACAAGAGTGGGCAAAAATTTTATTGTTGATTTTGGTAGCACTAGTACCCCTCTACATAATTACCGTTTACCCATCTTGCCAATACCCGTACCATCGGCCTATATTTAATTTCAAAGATAGGGTACTTTCAAGGTGATGGGCGACACCTATCATTGGTTTCCATACTATGTCTCAGAGACATGGAGCAACATAAATTGGTCATGATGCTTGAATAGTCGAAGACATATACTATCATCACCTACCATCAGTATATCACGCAGTCCCTATTTTGGCCTGGAAAAATGACTCTAAATATGCCTAAATTTTGACTCAAAATCGGTGAAAATAGGCTGAAAATCGTTATAGGGCCATATCTCCCGAATGGTTAATTTTTGAGATCGGCCCTTTTGGTCAACGAGTAGTCTAGTCGGACTGATTAATCCCTGTGAATATGAATCCGATCGGCTGACCCCCACCTTATCACCCCCTGCATGGTTTTCTCGTGGAATGACACTTAAACCCTTAATTTCCATATTGCAAATAAAGATTACAAAATTTAAAAGTAAAAATTAAATTATTTAAAAAAACTATGAATGAGAAACCATTCTTTCGATATTAGCATGTATCGGATCGAAACTTCATGGATTATGGCCCCTGATTGTACAACAACAACTGATCATAATTAAACCCTTAATTTCCATATTGCAAATAAAGATTACAAAATTTAAAAGTAAAGATTAAATTATTTAAAAAAACTATGAATGAGAAACCATTCTTTCGATATTAGCATGTATCGGATCGAAACTTCATGGATTATGGCCCCTGATTGTACAAAAAATCACGTTTTTAGCTTGTGGACCCTATAGAGATCACAATTTTAATCCTATTTTGATGAAACTTGAAATGTAAGTTTATAACCCAAAGATCTCGGTTCCTTTCGATATTCGCACATATCGGACCGTAACTTCCTAAATTTTGGCCCGATTGTATGAAAAATCACGTTTTTAGCTTGTGGACCCTATAGAGGTCATAATTTTTATTTGATTTAAAAAAACGTTTTAATATATCACCGTTACACCCTAAGGATGGCTGAGTTTCGTGAAAATCGGCCCAAAACTGACAGACAAAATGGCCGCCCTTCGTTCTCAAATAGCGTAAAACTATGGTATATCAAAGTTGTGGACCCTATAGAGGTCACAATTTTTAACCGATTTTATTGAAACTTGAAATGTAAGTTTATAACTCAAAGATCTCGGTTAGTTTCGATATTCGCGCAAATCCGACCGTAACGTCCTGAATTATGGCCCCTGATTGTACGAAAAATCACGTTTTTAGCTTGTGGACCCTATAAAGGTCATAATTTTTATTCGATTTAAAAAAATGTTTTAATATATCACCGTTACACCCTAAGGATGGTTGAGTTCGAATTTCGTGAAAATTGGCCGAAAACTAACAGACAAAACGGCCTCCTCTCATTCTCAAATAGCGTAAAAATATGGTATATCAAGGTTGTGGACCCTATAGAGGTCACAATTTTTATCTGATTTTTGTCCCCCGCCTTTCGAAGAAAGCAGGGGACTATTAAAATGGGTTCGTCCGTCTGTCTGTCTGTCTGTCCGTCTGTCCGTCCGTCCGTCCGTCCGTCTGTCTGTCTGTCCGTCACACTTTTTGGGACACAATAACTCTCTTCCTAATTGAGCTAGAATGTTCAAACTTGGTGTATGTGTTTATTAGGTCAATGCCTTGATGGAGTTCGAAGATGAGCATTTTCCGCTTAGGGTAAGCAGAGATAAGCAATTTGATTGGTTGATGCTTTGGGACACGATAACTCTCTTCCTAATTGGGCTAGAATGTTCAAACTTGGTGTATGTGTTGATTAGGTCAATGCCTTGATGGAGTTCGAAGATGAGCATTTTCCGCTTAGGGTAAGCAGAGATAAGCAATTTGATTGGTTGATGCTTTGGGACACGATAACTTTTAATTGAGCTAGAATGTTCAAACTTGGTGTATGTGTTTATTAGGTCAATGCCTTGATGGAGTTCGAAGATGAGCATTTTCCGCTTAGGGTAAGCAGAGATAAGCAATTTGATTGGTTGATACTTTGGGGCACGATAACTCTCTTCCTAATTGAGCTAGAATGTTCAAACTTGGTGTATGTGTTGATTAGGTCAATGCCTTGATGGAGTTCGAAGATGAGCATTTTCGGCTTAGGGTAAGCAGAGATAAGCAATTTGATTGGTTGATGCTTTGGGACACGATAACTTTAGTTCTAATTAAGTGAGATTGATGAAACTTGGTGTATAGTTTCATTACAGTAATACCTTGACTAAGTTTGATAATGAGCATTTTCTGCTCAGGGTAAGCAGAGCGATACGCAATTTGATTGGTCGAGACTTTGGAAAACAATAACTCTCCTACTTTGATTGTTAGACTATAAGTAAAGATATACTGTTTGATTGTTCAATACTTTGTAAAAGATAATTTGTGATAAATTTATATGTGTCCTCTAATTATTTTCCTATTTCGGCGGGGGACATCAGCCTCACTGTTGGCTTGTGTTTATAACCCAAAGATCTCGTTTGCTTTTGATATTCGTGCATATCGGACCATTACTTCCTGAATTATGGCCCCTGATTGTACGAAAAATCGCATCTTTAGTTTGTGGATCCTATATAGGTCATAACTTTTATCCGATTTAAAAAACCTTTTAATATATCACCGTTACACCCTAAGCATGGCTGAGTTTGTATTTCGTGAAAATCGGCCCATAACTGACAGACAAAATGGCCACCCTTCATTCGCAAATAGCGTAAAACTATGGTATATCAAGGTTGTGGACCCTATAGAGGTCACAATTTTATCCGATTTTGTTGAAACTTGAAATGTGAGTTTAAAACCCAAAGATCTCGGTTCCTTTCGATATTCGCGCATATTGGACTGTAACTTCCTGAATTATGGCCCCTGATTGTATGAAAAATCACGTTTTTAGCTTGTGGACCCTATAGAGGTCATAATTTTTATTTGATTTAAAAAAACGTTTTAATATATCACCGTTACACCCTAAGGATGGCTGAGTTTCGTGAAAATCGGCCTAAGCTGACAGACAAAATGGCCGCCCTTCGTTCTCAAATAGCGTAAAACTATGGTATATCAAGGTTGTGGACCCTATAGAGGTTACAATTTTTATCCGATTTTGTTGAAACTTGAAATGTAAGTTTATAACCCAAAGATCTCGGTTCCTTTCGATATTCGCGCATATCGCACCGTAACTACCTGAATTATGGCCCCTGATTGTAGGAAAAATTGCGTTTTTAGCTCGTGGACCCTATAGAGGTCATAATTTTTATCCGATTAAAAAAAAACTTTCAGGTATATCACTGTTACACCCTAAGGATGGTTGAGTTCGAATTTCGTGAAAATCGGCCCAAAACTGACAGACAAAATGGCCGCCCCTCGTTCTCAAATAGCGTAAAAATATGGTATATCAATGTTGTGGACCCTCTAGAGGTCACAATTTTCTTTTGATTTTGATGAAACTTGAAATGTAATTTTATAACCCAAAGATCTTGGTTC